ACTGAATACTGTCCTCAGTCGAGCGGACTGTATGGGGTTTAATATGTCATTCGTGGTACCAATTCTTTCGCATCCATACCAAGCGTTACCGGTACATATATCAGCGGGAGATGCGCCTAAATAAACAAACAGTCGATACACATTTCCAATCAGCGCCGCTCTCATTCAGTAAGTCCGCCGTCTGCAAAACGATACAAAACCACTTACATCCACATCATACTTACCCCAAAGGTCAAGGCGGCCATTATAGAGGTACGATTCTCCGTACAAATCAGCGGTCAATGTCTGAAACAATACAATACAATATTTTCAAAAAATAGCAGTATCCCACACAGTGGATAGACATCATTCGCTGGGTTGTAATCACTACTATTTTTTTGTTACCAACAGTAACAGTGTTAAACAAACACAAGGTCGGAAGGGGTTAACAGTGGAATTTTAATCTAAATATATGGAAATAAGTGTATTTTCTGAAATTTCTGAAATCACCGAAAAGGAATTATACAAAAATGCAGTTGTTGGTCTTCGCCATAATATGACTTATTCCCAGAAGGCCAACGTGACGTCATTGAGAGCGAGTGAGCCACGCGACCTCAGATCCATATATACATCAACCCGGAAACATTGTGTTAATAATATGCTCTTATGTAAGTGACAGAGGTGTTTCTATGGTCAAAATTCATATTTTAACAAATCAATATACAATGCAACTTACATGTGCTCCTATATTTAAAGATGCTCTTATAATAGAGCACATACGGTAACTGTTTTATTTGGAATAAACAGTGATGACAGAAATGGTACTTTGGTATAAATATGAGTATAGATGTTGCCACTATCCAGGTATAAAAGTTGTCACACTTTTGAGCACTCAGGGGCACCTCCCTACCCAATTATATATCAACTGGCCCCGGGATTTTGCCCCATAATAGTCACGGTGTTACATTCCCTGTCATCATTTCGTCTACTAATCTCCCGACCATATAATCATAGTACCTGTAACAATAGATGCGATGACGATCCGATCCGTGGTACATTGTGGCCATTTCACAATGTAATTTCATCCTTACAATTAATTAAATAAAAATTTAGTATATTAGTCTTATTTGTGACTCGCTGTTAACATAACTCTGTACTATGGTATTGGTGATATATGAATTGGGTGCCATAGGATGGTACTTGATGGCCAACCAACCTAATCAAATATGTATTTTGCATTGTACGAGTGCAAAATAAGATATTAGGAAATTAGGATATTAGTACCAGCTGTTTTATACGCATGCGCATTGGCCGATCCTGTCAAAATCTCGTCATCTGTTTTGAGGCGTGTCTGGTCGATGTGAAATTGCTTCAGCCATTGGGTAACGAATTAACTGGTGTCTGTGTGAAAACCGCTGTAAAGTGGCGGTGAAATGAATTTGCGCGGTTTTTGCGCTGCCATTCTTTGAATGATTTGGAGCAGCAATGGAAGCCGACCATTTAATTGATAAAAATCTCGTCCTGAATATGATTTTAAATGGCCGAACTTATAAAAAAATCAGTCTCGTATTGGAAAGTACGTTTCCGGGAACGAGAGGTTTCGAGGTGGAGTGACGTGGTGAGTAGATTTCCTAAATTTCCGGTACCGAAAGAGAATATGGTGTCGAACGACCAACATAGTAAACCAAACTTAGAACTAGCAATACTGGTGCAGACGACTATGGTCGAACAACCATGAAAAATAAATGGCGGAACTTTGGTTGCACATTTAGCTCAGAAATAAAAGACACGCCAGTAGTTGGACAACCAATCATTTTATTATTGGTTACGATGTACCACGAATCATCTCCACGTCCTTTGTAAACACCACATACACGATGTGCCGCCATCCAATGGCGGGATGAGCGGCTTCCTTTGTGCACAATCAGCGTCAACTTCATGAAAGGAGCACGACGCACTTGCTAACTAAGTCTGGTGGCGCCCTACTATTTCATCAATAACCAAATATACTATTATCCTGTTCCCGAATTGAACATTTGTTTATTTGGAGTAATTTCCAATTCTACGCTAGGTCCTTAGTAATTAATGATTCCACGTATTTATTTGGCCGTTATATGACAGACGTAAAATGCCATAATGTTAATTCGCGGAAATTTAAACACACTGATACTGATAATGAATTACAAATTTGCCAAAAAATACTAAATTTGGTATCCCATGGAAATAATTGAAATCAAAATATTTGGCAATATAGTAAGTTTTGCGTCGCATGCACACAATGGAAATATCATACAAAATGGGCCTAATATACTAATGTTGTATTTAATTTATTGTAAGAACGAGTTTACATCCTGGAATGGCCACGATGTACCACGGATCGGATCGATGACGGTAAAGAATAGAACTAAGTTGGGAGAGAGCAAAGATTCGCGAGGCTTTCTCGTTCTCAATGAGATCTTAGCGGCCATTTGTAAATACTCTCTATTTACCGCATACCCAACCTGTCTAACATAGTTGCCTTCTTACCGGTTTTATATAAAGAATTCCATCACGTACGTAACTATTAGAACGATTATTTGTGTAATACTGAAATTCCCAATTCTGCAATAAAAAGAAGATTAAAATGATATGAGCAATTTGGATATTTAAGTCAGTCAATTTAGACAGTCAGGTATATATCTATCTCACTGCTACTGGTCGCCGAGTTTCAAGGAGCATGACTGTACACTTCATGAACCAAGTTTGAACGCTCACCAGAAACCCACAACACACGTTCCTATATTTCTAGGCCAAAACCTAATTACAGTCAGGACACAGTACTACTTACACCACCGCCTCCAGCTGTCATCTCGTGTTGCCATGTCTCCAAGTTCAACTCGTCGAAA